ACGTGTGAGTTCATGTGCATATTATATATGGAATGAAAGATAATTATTAATAGGAGTGCCGTAATACCAACCACTCCTAATTTACCTAATTCCGTAGCTGTCATTTGTTAACAAATTCAAACGTCTATTTCAAGTAAAATTCCGACCCGACCCGACCCGACCCTATATATATATATATTATTTATTTTTTTCAAAGGTTGAATTGGTGATTACTGATTAGGTGAGCTATCTTTTTCTCTCTCTCTTAAATCTCCTTTTCATTGTTGACTAAGAAATATGTTGTGCATCTTTAGTGAAAAATGTTAAAATTATTGTTGAGTTTAGTGAATTTATTCTTCGAAAATAAAGATGACATTTGATCTGACGTGACTCGTAAGTCAATTATTATGATAGATATGGAAAATAAATTACAATTTTCTTGCTTGACGCAAAGAAGAGATATCACATCCAATGAGATTCTCGTTAATTGCATTTCATTACATGTTTCACATACTTACGTCATGGTATTAGGTTTTAGTGAATATTGAATTTTGTTGTTTGTGAAAAAAAAAGCCATCATCGAGCTTGATTTCACGGTTTCATATATCGAATCTTGTAGCTTGGAGTTATGTCGATGTTTGTTCGTGTATGTGCTTATCCAATTTCAATTTCTTGTTATATCGTCTTGATTCAGAGTTCATTCGAGGCGTGAACTAAAACCATCAAGTTTTTATATAAAATCAAAGAATTAATGAATGTAATGAGCATAGATCAATATCATTTGCGAAATAAAAAATACAAGAGAAATTCCAATTCTGAATTTTTTACTGTGCCCATGACTAGGACATTTTTAAGATTTAAGAATGCTGCATTATAGGGATGCGAATGCTAATTCTAATGCTAATGCATCAAAAGAAAATTGGGACCCATCTACCAAAATAAGACAAAGGACGGTCCATAAATCAGCAAGGTTTCATTGCGAGGATTCCGCTAGTTTATGCTAAAAAAATATAATATTTCATAATAGGTTACAATTACAATGAAAAAGCTAGGCTAAACCCCTTAAATTATCTCATCTAGAAATTCAAATTACCACAAGAATAAATGATTGAATATTGAAAATACGAAAGATAAATAAATAATTTTATAAATCGTGATGTATATTTTATATTTCAATCTTGAAACATGATTATCAATATTCATCATTATCTCGGTAGAATCCATCCCATTGCTCGAATCAACAAGATTAATTGAATTCACATCAACTTGAATCTCATTGTCATAACACATCTCCATTGTCGTGTCCCTCACAACATCAATGCAAACTCATTAAAATCATGCATATTCATCTTTATTGTATCGGGAGTCAGTTGTTGCATCTCTCATGACAGTTCATTGTTTACACCCATCGCATGCTCTTGACAATCATCCAGAATACCTAATCTCTCTTATTGTTGGTTACTGAATTTTGAGGTTAATAGTTATCGTACTTACATTTTTGTCATTTTCTCTTTAAAATTACTTGACTTTCTACACCACTACGAGTATTCGGTTGCCCTTTTTAGCCAACATGTTCAAGAACATGGACTATACATTGATACCACGTCAAATCAACTTGATTTAAATTAATATAGAAACAAAAAAAAATCAAGACCAAAACGTAGAAAAAGAACAAAATGTTGATTTTGGTGATGGCATAATGCGAATCTAAGGAAAGGTGAGGTGTCTAGGTCTGGCAGGGAATAGGATTCAGTCGTACTCGTGCGTAGTGCATACTGACAAAGTGCGCCCCAACACATAAAATAGAGAGAGAGAGAGAGAGAGAATCATCCAGAATACCTAACCTCTCTTATTGTTGGTTATTGAATTTTGAGGTTAATAGTTATCGTACTTACATTTTTGTCATTTTCTCTTTAAAATTACTTGACTTTCTACACCACTACGAGTATTCGGTTGCCCTTTTTAGCCAACATGTTCAAGAACATGGACTATACATTGATACCACGTCAAATCAACTTGATTTAATTTAATATAGAAACAAAAAAAAATCAAGACCAAAACGTAGAAAAAGAACAAAATGTTGATTTTGGTGATGGCATAATGCGAATCTAAGGAAAGGTGAGGTGTATAGGTCTGGCAGGGAATAGGATTCAGTCGTACTCGTGCGTAGTGCATACTGACAAAGTGCGCCCCAACACATAAAATAGAGAGAGAGAGAGAGAGACTCATTTTTCTATAATCATCAAACCCTAAGTCCCGCGCCCCGTGCCCCCTGTCACGTTTCACCTTATTATATTGCAACCATTTTCAAATAAATAAAATACTTAAATTATGTTTATTTATATTTTTTGTTCTACCACTTGGAGCTTTTTTCCTTGTCATATTTCTTAACTCTATTTGACGATCATTATTTCGAATTTTTTTTCTACATATTCAATTTTGACTATATATTCATACAATAAAATATATTATAAGTAAACTCAAATTTTTTTCTACATTTAACCATACATTATCCTAAAATTTACTATGTAAAACTTTATTTTTACAACATAATGATTGTCAAACAAGGGCTTAACAGTATTTGTTGGATTAAGCCTTCATTTTGGCTCAATTTCATTTAAAATATATTTTTTCTCCCTTTTTTTTAATCATGCATTTTTCAATAAAATAATATCATACACGTAAATTCAAATTTTTTCTTCTTATTTAATCACACATTTTTTTAAAAAATCACTATTTTAAAATATAAATTTACCCCAAAACACATTTTAAAGGAGTCCAAACAGGGAATAAAACACGTTATTAGTAAAATTTATTTTATATGATTTTTTGTATTTAATAATTAGTACAATATTTTAATTAATACGATAAAATTTCTATTCATAGTATACCAAAAATTAGAATCGTATATTGTTATAAAATTATTTTTTAATTTCATCCCACTCAATCATGGATATTTGTCTCCAAGGTTATTCTTGGTGTACATAAAAATGTCCATAATGGACGTCCAGCGCCCCGTATTGACAGAACGGGGCGCTTGCAACGCATAGGCCCCTCCAATGGGGAGACGTTAGGTGTCCCTAATTCTTACGTACTTGGTGATATACACCAAGAATAATCATTGTCGCTAACTACTATCGTTGATATGACAATCGATGGTGTGCTAATAGCCTAATGTTGGGCCTTCCCATTTTTTATATGTTCGGTGGAAATCAAGATCAAATTTTTTTTATAGCTTTTGATAAAAGTTGGTGAAATGTGTGGTTGAAAAGTTATGGACCTCCATAAAATATGTAGTTAAAATTAATTATTTAAATTAAATTAAAATCTAAATTTTAATTTTTAAAAAATAGGAGCTAAGTGTCTACACAATTGCAACGATGTACAAGCACGTGTCATCAATTGTGTGTAACAACAATCTTGAAATTAGAGTGCTTCTTTGAATTTTTAAATAAATTGATCGATAAATTTGTTTTCAATTATAAAATTATCTCAAAAATTACTTGACTGGCGGATTGCAAATTGTATTAATTGTGCTTTTAATATAATGTACAGCTATTTTTTTTGGTTGTTGACAGATTACATCAAAATTAAGCTCTTGCTTGAATCTCATTCTTTTAAAAATTCATTTTTTCAAAATTTATTTTCAAACACACATTATTCAAGAAAATAATATTACACTTAAATTTAAAAAATTTTGCTTAATTTTTAATCACGCATTCTCCATCAATCTAGTATTTAAAACGCATTCTTTCCTCCAAAATGGGCTCAAACAAGGGCTAAACATACATTTCAGATAGTTGTTTCTTATATAAAATTCCACATTATTTAATATTATTTAATTAGTAAATTAATTATAGGGAGACAGAATACACAATCTAAGCATCTAATTGCATTAGTTATTATATTTTTTAATAATAAAAGAGTATAAAAATGGGCTCAACAAATTATCACGGAAATACGAAGAAAAGAAAGTGAGAGGTGTTAAGGAAGAGAGAGAAAAAAATAAGAGAATCAAATCCCATGTTTGACTGAACCGAAATATGAGGAAAAAGACAACATTTGAGCCACCCCACACCCACTACCCAGAAACAATATAACAACTTTAGAATATTCAAAATTAAAATCTCACCCCTCTTTATTTTCAAGACTCTCCAAAAGTTTTGTCCCCTACTTTATTGTTTTACCTTATTACACAATTTATTCTATTTCAAACAAAATTGTACAGATTTTTTATTAGGTACGAGTTTTTATGCGAGGATGTTTTATCATTATTAACATATTGATTTTGTTTATTGTACAATTTTATTCTACAATAATGTTATTATAATCAATAACTGTCGATAACTATCATATATGATAACTTATTATTTTTATTATTTTCTTATGAAAATGAAATATATGACCGTTATTCATTATATTTGACTTTTTATGTTTTGTGTAGAGTTTATAACGACTATATTTTTCATTTTCATTTTTATAATAATGTGACTTAAACGGGGGCTAATATTTATTAATAATCCTTAATTATGAATAATATTATTCTTAATTTAATAAAACATATTATATACGCACACGATCAGTTTGCAGGATTATCCAAATGAAGTGAACAACCCAAGAAAAAAACAAAAAGTTGTACTAACCTCGGCTGCTGTTGCTGGATGAAGCCGCTGGGCTTGTAGTAGTCTGTCATTCTAACGTACGCCTACCCCCCGTCCCCCCACACATTAAAGTTGAACCCCAACCTTAAGGGTCCTCACCGACCCTGTCCTGGACCATCGTGGAGAAGGTAAATCGCAGGATGTGCCTCTCAGGAGTCAGGGTGGAGAGCACATGAATAGGCCAAGGTTGTTAACCCATATGGTAACTCCCGCTTGCAACAAAGTCAATTCCATCTTACGGGGAATCGAACTCTGTACACTGTCGTGCTGAGCCCGATCCGCCCCCTTTGTCACTGGGAGATATGCCCTGCCCCCCACTCCCCCCCAACACATTAACTCTCATTTTTGGAGGGTGAAAGACTTCATAGTACCCACTAACGCTCAAATCTGGTGTCTCTCTCTCTAGTAACACAAACACACTTTTCTGTCATCTTTCTCTCCAACCGGACCACCACAATCAGTGAATAATATTGAGTGAAAAGGTTTGGTTTTGCCTTTTCTTTTAATTTTGGTTTACAATTGGGCTATTGGATTTGATTATAAGCTTATTATTTACATGTTTCTTGTTTTTATTGAATCAATTTTTTCTTTCTTTTCTTCTCAGGATATTTTCTTCAATAATAATTCAAGATGGAGGCAGTGGCTTTGCAGTAATAAGAAGAGACCATAAGTTTGAAGAAGATAGATTTTATGCAGAAAACAAAGTTTAAAGACTGTAAATTTTATGCAGTTGGAGGCATTTAATCAAACTGACCAAGAACAAGATGAAGAACAAAGAATTCATTTTTCTCATAATGTTTCTTATGGGTTGTTTCTTAATGGGATCAAGTGCTAGAAATTTGTCTGAAAAACAGAGAAGCGACGTCAGCAGTTTAATGGCCTTCAAGCAGTCCTCAATTGAAGCTGACCCAAAAGGGTTCTTGAAAAACTGGTCTCCATCTTCCTCAACGCCATGCTCATGGAGTGGTATTTCATGCTCTGATGATGGTACAGTCATTACACTTAACTTCACCAATGCAGGGCTAAGTGGCCACCTTCAATTTTCTGATCTAATGGCCTTGCCTAGTCTTGTAAATATTCAATTTAGCGGCAATTTTTTCAGTGGAAATATTTCTTCAAATGCTAAGTATTGCAGCTTTGAGTTTCTTGATTTGTCTCGTAACAATATTTCTCAACCCCTCGCTGCAGAGTCTTTGTTACTCTCTTGTAACAGGCTTGTTTCTTTGAATCTCTCCCGCAATCAATTTTCCGGTGAAATTCCGGCTACTTTCATAACTGACTTGCCTGAATCTTTGAAAATTCTTGATCTTTCGCATAATAACTTCACCGGAAATTTCATGGCTATTGATTTTGGGACTTGTCATAATCTCACTGTACTGAACTTGTCCTATAATAGTCTTTCTGCTACTGGATTTCCAATTAGCCTAAAAAATTGCCAAAGTCTTGAGATTTTCGACATCGGCCACAATGGAATCCAACTTAAGATTCCTGGGGACTTGTTAGGGAAGCTTAACAATTTGAGGCAATTGGTATTAGCCCACAATAAGTTTTCTGGGGAGATTCCGGCAGAGTTGGGGCAAATTTGTGGGACACTTGAGGAGCTCGATCTTTCGGGGAACCAGTTAATTGGTGGGCTCCCTTTGAATTTTGCGTCGTGTTCTTCACTTTTCAGTCTCAATATTGGTAACAATCAACTTTCGGGCGATTTTCTTAGTACTGTTGTCAGTTTACTTACGAATCTTAAGTTTCTGTATGTTCCATTTAATAACATAACTGGTCCTGTACCGGAATCGTTGACAAACTGTACTCAGCTACAGGTTCTGGACCTTAGTTCAAATTCCCTGACAGGGAATGTACCTTCTGGATTTTGCTCAAGAACTTCAAATTCTGCTCTAGAGAAGTTGTTACTGCCGAATAATTATCTCACCGGGACAGTGCCATCCCGGCTTGGACTCTGCAGAAACTTGAGGACAATTGATCTCAGCTTCAATAGCCTAAGTGATTCGATTCCGATGGAAATATGGGAATTGCCAAAGCTTTCGGACGTGGTTATGTGGGCTAATAACCTGACAGGTGAAATTCCAGAAGGCGTTTGTATCAGAGGAGGAAATCTTCAGACACTGATTCTCAACAATAATCTCATTACTGGAACTCTTCCCAAGTCCATTGTCAACTGTACTAATTTGATTTGGATTTCAATGTCTAGCAACCGGATTACTGGAGAAATACCTGCAGATATTGGGAACCTTGTTAACCTTGCTATCCTTCAGTTTGGGAACAATTCTCTTGGTGGAGTAATCCCACAAAGCATTGGCAACTGCAAGAGTCTGATATGGCTTGATCTGAATAGCAATGAGTTGTCTGGATCTATTCCAGTCCAGCTTGCTGAACAATCCGGTCTTCTTGTTCCTGGAATTGTTTCAGGAAAACAGTTTGCATTTGTAAGAAATGAGGGCGGGACAGAATGCAGAGGTGCTGGAGGACTAGTTGAATTCGAGGGAATTCGTACAGAGAGGCTGGCAATATTTCCCATGGTTCATTCATGCCCATCGACAAGAATATACTCTGGTGTCACGGTTTACACTTTTACGAACAATGGGAGCATGATCTACTTTGATCTTTCCTATAATCACTTGTCAGGAACAATCCCTGAAAACTTGGGTTCGATGAGTTTTTTGCAGGTTCTGAATTTGGGACACAACAACTTAACAGGATCTATACCCTTCAGTTTTGGAGGCCTAAAGGCTGTTGGAGTTCTTGATCTCTCACACAATAATCTTCAGGGTGTCGTCCCAGGGTCATTAGGGGGCCTCTCATTTCTTAGCGATCTTGATGTTTCGAACAACAACCTTACGGGGACAATTCCTTCAGGTGGACAGTTAACTACATTTCCAGCTTCCAGGTATGACAATAATTCAGGCCTTTGTGGGGTTCCCCTGCCTCCTTGTGGCTCTGGAAATGGACGTAATTCATCAAGTTATACCAGTCGAGGGAAGAAGCAAAGTATTACGTTAGGCATGGTCATTGGCATTATGTCGTCTCTGGTTTTTATATTCTTGCTCATGTATGCACTTTACAGAGTTAAGAAAACTCAACAAGAGGAGGAAACCAGAGAAAAATACATCGAAAGCCTCCCAACCTCCGGCAGCAGCAGTTGGAAACTCTCTAGCGTGCCCGAACCTCTAAGCATCAATGTGGCAACATTTGAAAAGCCTCTACGGAAGCTCACCTTTGCACATTTGCTTGAAGCCACCAATGGTTTCAGTGCTGATAGCTTGATTGGGTCAGGGGGATTTGGCGAGGTTTACAAGGCTCGACTGAAAGATGGAAGCATTGTTGCAATAAAGAAGCTTATTCACGTCACAGGACAGGGAGATCGAGAATTTATGGCAGAAATGGAGACCATTGGAAAAATAAAACATCGAAATCTTGTGCCTTTGCTCGGTTACTGTAAGATCGGGGAGGAAAGGCTTCTCGTGTACGAGTACATGAAATGGGGAAGTCTGGAGGCCGTTCTTCATGACAGGAAAAACGAACTTGATTGGGAAACTAGAAAGAAAATAATCATTGGATCAGCGCGAGGACTAGCTTTTCTTCATCACAGCTGCATACCGCATATAATTCATCGGGATATGAAGTCAAGCAACGTACTTCTAGATGAAAACATCGAAGCCAGGGTGTCGGATTTTGGAATGGCACGACTTGTGAATGCCCTTGACACTCATCTAAGTGTGAGTACGCTAGCCGGGACCCCAGGTTACGTTCCTCCAGAGTATTACCAGAGTTTCAGGTGCACTACCAAAGGAGACGTCTATAGCTACGGTGTTGTATTACTTGAACTTCTATCTGGGAAGAGGCCAATCGACCCATCAGAGTTTGGGGACGACAACAATCTTGTTGGATGGGCAAAACAGCTGCACAGAGATAAGAGAAGTCATGAAATACTGGATCCTGAATTAATAACAAATGTATCAGGTGATGCTGAACTATACCATTATCTTAATATTGCTTTTGAATGTCTAGATGATAAGCCTTATAGGAGGCCAACTATGATTCAAGTGATGGCCATGTTTAGAGAGCTCCAGGCAGATTCAGAAAGTGATATTCTTGATGGAATTTCAGTGAAAAATTCAGTAATTGATGAATCACAAGAAAAGGTTCCTTAGTTGATGAAATTTGAAATTATCTTCAGGTTTGTGTTGGACTACTCCATGGCTAATACATGTCTAGTGAACTCCGAGATAACTTCAAATTTTGTCAATTGTAAATAACATAAGGCATGTTTGATAGGAAAGATTGGACAACGCACTGTAGTATCAACGCAGAAAGAGAGGCTAAAATCTTGTATATTTTGTTGTCCAGTCGAGTACTATGCTACAAAATGAAATGGAGAAGGGTTTGAGATTGATGCTGGGATGTTTTAAGTTGCTTAGTGGGGGGGGGGGGGGGGGGGGGGTG